AACTACAGCTGCTCCAACCACAACCACAGCGGCTATAACTAAAACTACAGCTGCTCCAACCACAACTACAGGTGCTCCAACAACAAACACAGCTGTTTCAACCACAACTACAGCTGTTCAAACCACATCTTCAGCTGCTCCAACAACAACCACAGCTGCTATAACCACTACTACAGCTGCTCCAACAAAAAACGCCGCTACTCCAACCACAACTGGAGCTGCTCCAACCACGAACACAGTTGCTATAACCACAACTACAGCTGCTCCAACCACAACCACAGCTACTATAACCACAAGTACAGCTGCTCCAACAACAACCGCAGCTGCTCCAAAAGCTACATCTCCTCCAACTACAACTACAGCTGCTCCAACAACATCCACAGCTGCTCCAACCACAACTACAGCTACTATAACCACATCTTCACCTTCTCCAACCACAACCACAGCTGCTACAACCACAACCACAGTTGCTCCAACAACAACCAATGCTTCTCCAACCACAACTGCAGCAGTTTCAACCACAACCACAGCTGCAATAACCACAACTACAGCTGCTCCATTTACAACCACAGCTGCTCCAACAACAACCACAGCAGCTATAACCACAACTACAGCTGCTCCAACTACAACCACAGCTGCTATAACCACAACTACAGCTTCTCCAACAACAACCACATCTGCTCCAAAATTTACATCTCCTCCAACCACAACTACATCTCCTCCAACCACAATTACAGCCGCTCCCACAACAACCACAGCTGCTCCAACCACAACTACAGCTGCTCATACCACATACACAGCTGTTTCAACAACATCTTCAGCTGCTCCAACCACGGCCACAGCTGCTATAACCACAACTACAGCAGTTTCAACAACAAACAATGCTGTTCCCACCACAAATACAGCTGCTCCAACAACAAGCACAGCTGCTCCAATAACAACTACAGCAGTTCCAACCACAGCTGCTGAAACTACAACTACAGCTGTTCCAACCACAACCACAGTTGCAATAACGACTACAGTTGCTCCAACTACAACCACAGCTGCTATATCAACTACAGCTGCTCCAACAACAACCACATCTGCTCCAAAAGCTACATCTCCTCCAACCACAACTACATCTCATCCAACCACAACTAACACTGCTCCAACCACAACCTCAGCTGCTCCAACCACAACCACAGTTGCAATAACCTCAACTACAGCAGCTCGAACAACCACAGCTGCTCCAACAACAAACACAGCTGTTCCAACCACAACTACAGCTGTTCCAACCACAACTACAGCTGTTCCAACCACATCTTCAGCTGCTCCAAAAACAACCACAGCTGTTCCAACCACAACTACAGCTGTTCCAACCACAACTACAGCTGTTCCAACCACAT